GGGGCTCCAAAATCACTGCAGATGGTGATTGCAGCCATGAAATTAAAAGACACTTAGTCCTTGGAAGGAAAGTTATGACCAACCTAGACAGCATATTAAAAAGCAGAGACATTACTTTGCCAACAAAGGTCCATCTAGTCAAGGCTTATGGTTTTTCCAGCGGTCATGTGTGGATGTGAGAGTTGGACTATAAAGCAAGCCAAGCACCGAAGCACTGATGTTTTTGAACTTTGGTGTTGAGAAGACTCTTGAGAGTCCCTTGGACTACAAGGAAGTCCATCCAGTTCATCCTAAAGGAGATCAGTCCTGGGTGTTCATTGGAAGGACTGATGTTGAAGCCGAAACTCCAATACTTTGGCCACCTGATGCGAAGAGCTAACTCATTTGAAAAGACCCTGATGCTGGGAAAGATTGAGGTCAGGAGAAGAAGGGGACAACAGAGGATGAGATGGTTGCATGACATCACTGAGTAAATGGACATGAGTTTGGGTAAACTCCAGGAGTTGGTCATGGACAGGGAGGCCTGGCGTGCTGCAGTCAGTGGGGTTGCAAAGAGTTGGACATGATTGAGCGACTAAACTGAACTGAACGAAGGTCACCACGTGTTTGGAGTGTTGTCATTTCCAGAGATCCAGGTCCAAAAAATGGAATGGCACCAAAAAATAGGCTAACTACAACATGAAAATATCCTTCTCTGTAGAAAGAGCCAAGGACTCAACAGTGCTGTGTTTGGATGCCCCAGGCTGAGTTGGCCTGGGTGTGTTTGCATGGGCTCTACTGATGGAACTGTGGTAGTGATCTTGTGAGTGGTCACATGAAGTGAGAACTTAATTCCCTGCCCAGGAATTGAACCTGGATAGCCTGGATGAAAACTAGAAGACTGAGCCACCAGACCAGCAAGGGCTAAAGGCTGGAAGCTGTTTTTCTGGGCTCTTTCCTCCAGTGAAAAATGCATTTATTATGGAGGCAAAAACTGTAAATGCAGGTTCAAAGTTTATATTAGAGGCACAGCACAACAGCAAGTGGGACAGCACACAGAGGAACGGTTTGTTAAGATGGAAGCAGGGGAGGGATGCATACCCAGAGAGAAAGGGTTTAGGCGCACCCTCTAGCGAGGAGGAGCACAACAAAGAAATGGTTAAGCCATTTATATATGACAGTTCTTCAGATCTTCGTTTATCTTCTGCCAATTATCGGGCTTCCTTTTCCTTACCTGAGCTACCCTACCGCCCTTCCCAACATGTACACACAACTGTTTTCCAAGATGGATTCCAGTTGAGAGGACTATGGAATCACATATTAACATCACATATTATGGGGTAATGCACCATTCTTTTTGACCCCAAGGAGGCTTTCTGCACATATGAAATGTCTCTCTTGCCCCAGGGATGGCAAATATATAACCTCTTGATTCTTTACTCAAACAAGGTTTAGCATGTTCCTGCCATGACTGTTACCTTAGGGTGTCCACAGAAGACAAAACTTGGCTGTTTATCCCACTTCAGTTGTTACTTCCATTTAGAAGAGCAAACAGGAAGTAAATATCTAACCTGGAGCCCACCCATCGTCTGTTTCAAGAAATGCAAACAGGTGGCTAGCTGTAAGTGACTGGCCTGAAGCCCATCTTTTTCTTTCCTCAAGAAATGTAAACAGGAGACCAGTCATAAATGCCTATCTCCTGCCTCAGTGGGAACAGCTGAGCCATGGCCAGGTTCCAAATGGAGTCTCAGAGTCCCTCGGGAATGACCCAAGAAAGCTGCCCAGTCAATGCAGCATGCTGTCGATGCTGGGAGAGCCACCTGTCATCCAGGCCTGGAGACCTCACTCCTGCAGTAGGGGGTAAAAAAGGGGAACCAATGAAACATGATTCTGCTCATTGCCTATAGCAACAGCCTAGAATGGTGCAGAGATTGAAACTCTTATCTGATGAGATCCCGGGAGTATTTATCATTCTGTTTCTCTGTTCCAGGCAAGTCATTTTCAAATTTGGCTCTGAGACCATTGTCTGGAACACCTGTATGAAATACAGATTCCTAGACTCCACCTCCAAAGATTCTGATTCAAGGGTTTTGTGCCGAAGAATTTATTCCTCAGTGTTGCACATGGTTCAGAGGAGGGGATCCACGGACCAGTGTCTGGGAAGAATCACTCTAGCCCACACCATCTCCTTATACAACCAGTCACTGAGAAGGGGCTGCACTCCCAACGTAACACCCAGAGTGTCCCCGAGCCCCCACTTTGACCTGCTGCCCATTCTGGGACACAAAATCTCTGAGCTCTGCCCCCCAGTGAGCTCCATAACTGTCCTTTTCACACATGCACTTCACATCCATTCAGTTCAGCCAGTGTTTATTGGGCACCTCCTATAGGCAAGGCACAGAACCAGGTGCTGCTGTGGGGAACAGAGAGGAGAAGGCCGGGCCTCACCCTCAAGGGGCTCACAGTCTAGTGGAAGAGAGACATGGGTGCTAAAAATACAAGGCAGCATGAGATGAGCTCTACAACAGGCAAAACCAGTGGGAAGGCAGGGAACCCAGGCAGATCAAATGTTTGATGCAGCAGGTGGTGCTCTGGGCAGTCCATGGGAGATAGCAAGATTCACACAGGTGAACTGAGCAGAGAAGGGACTTTCAGGCAGGAGAGAAGGTACAGAGGTGGGAAAGAACACTGACTGTCCAAAAAATAGAGGCAGAATGTGTGCCTTGACTGAAATAGAGGGTGCTAATGGGGTAACCGGGAGCTAAAGCTAGACAAATGTTTTGAGGGCAGATGGCAGAGGAGATCAACGTTGATCTGTAGGTGATGGTGAGTCATCCAAGGTTTCTGAGCCAAGGAGCAACATGATTTCATTTCCTCAATTCCCAGTGCTATAACATGCGATTAACTCTACTTCTGTTAACTTCACTCCATGGACTTACACCCTCTCCTGGTCTCAAAGCAGAAGCTCTCTGGCTACACATACCTTTAGGACTGTACAAAGTTACAATGCAGTAGCCTTAGGCTAGGTAAATTTTGAGCTCACTTACCAGCTTTATGGACTTTGTGGACTTACTATGTCCACAGAACAGAAGGGGCAGCCTTCTAGAATCATTTGAGAGTAAGGGTCAAGGCACAAGGAAGGTACTCAATGAACTTTTGTTGCCTAGGCATGGCATGGGTGAGCTGTAGGAAAAAATGGGAGCACAAAGAGAAAATGGTAGAGAGATGCAGGTGACAAAATGAGCATCATCTAAACCAAACCATTTCCTAGGAGGCTTCTGCTACAACCCACTTCATTGGGTGGGGAGACTCTGCAGTCTGACCCACTGGGATCAGTAGGTGGTTCTTCTAAGAGCCCTACACCTAACAGATTCTCTACTGACACCTTCATTAGGATCCTGCTTAACTATCCAGTGAGGAGCGGAAATGGCGCCCACCCCTACCTGGGCTACCCCAGCCTGTAAAGGAATGTGAAGCCACTGCTGTCCAGGTGGACATGGCGATGCTGGTCAGCGAGGGCTCCCCCAGAACCTCCACACTAACCGAAGTGGGTGTCTGGGTGGAGACAGGTGAAGTCACAGCTGGGTTACCCAGGAGAAACGCTCCCGGGGAGTTGGCATGCACCTCTGAGCCTGACCCGGCAGGGCCCCCGCCACTGTTGTTGATGGTCCACAGGCATGGATATGGGCTGCAGAAAAAGAGAGAGAGAGAGAGAATGGTGATGATACTCCCAGACAGGACTGCCATCTGATTAGCACATACACAGAGCTGAGCGGGACACGAGTTCGAAAGAGAGTATCTAGCCATGGCTTTGTTTCCAGCTCTGACGCACACTGCTCCCTTTTCTGCGGAGAAGCAGCAAGATGTAGTAGAATGAGCATACAATTAGGTGTCCTGACACCTGCGTTTTGATGCCGGCCCTGCCTCTAGCAAGTTGTTCAGTTTTAACACAACATTTTATTTCTCTAATCTTCCCTTGCTACCTGTGTAAATGGGCAGCGAAGTTGAAAGGAGGATATTTGGGCAGTATAATCTGTAAGATCTCTCACTGGCCAAGAGAGGTGATGTGGCCTAATAACCAGGACAGAAAATCTAGGCTTAAATCCTAGCATTACAGCTTATTAGCTCTGTGACTTTGAACAAATTATTTAATAGATAAGCCTCAGTTTCCTTATCTTCAAGATTTGACGTGATAATTAAACATACCTTACTAAATATTTTTATGAGGATTGAATAAGAAAATGAGTACGTGAAATCCAAAACATAGCACTCTGTAAATGGTGGTTGTTATAATTAATTCTTCCATTCCAGGTTTCTACCTGTCAGTTCTGGTCCCTGGTAGAAAGGCGGGGAACTGGACCACTTTCTTAGACTTTTCTATACTACATCACTGGGTCACGAACTTGACTATACATTGAAATCACTTAGCAAATTAAAAACATTACTGACACTTGGGTTCTACCCCTGGAGATTCTGATCTAATTAGTCTGGCATGTAGTATCAGAATTTTTTAAAGCTTTCCTGTTGACTGTGATGTGCAGCCAATTTTGTACCTTAACATAGAACCTGGATTAAAATGACTGCAGTCAACACAGGCAAATAACTTCCAGTACTTTGGTCATCACTTTTCAGAGTCTCATTACCCAATGACAGTACTGAACACATTTTGCTTTTCTCTACCGAAATATTTAGAGTCAGCAATGGGTTAAACATGCCACTGATGAAACCAGAGGTAGAAATGCCACCCTGCAATCTGCCATATTTCAGATTCTCAGACCTCATTGGACCCTATGAAACCTGCAGAAACCTAGAAAGGCCACGGGGGTTGTTGGGTTTTTTAGCCAGCTCAGCTTGCTGGGATTCTGACCCCAAGTCCCCAGTTTTCAAAAGAAACTCTTCTACAATAACAGTCAGAGCCCCTTTCTGATGCTTCCTGAACTGATTCAAAAACCATGGGTTCTGAGTTACTTTATTTACTGTCTTAGCTTAAGGCAGTTTTTAAAGACTCTGAGATTTAGTTTCTCCATCAAGAAAATAGGAATTTTAAAAGCAGCCTTATGGATGTCTTTGAATCCTATAAATGACTTACATTAAGGATCTAGTACAGAACTTGGCACATAGTTAATTGTCTAATAGCTTCAAGGACACTCTTTCCCTCACTTTCAACACAGCACCAATAAATGCATTTCCCTGAGATCCTCTAGTCAAGCACTGTCCAATAGAAATAAAATGTGAGCCACAAATACGATGCTGAATTTTTGAGAAACCACACTTGAGAAAAGAATAAAAAGAGACAAATGAACTTATTATTAATAATATTTTATGTAACTGAAAATATTTAAAGTATTATCATTCTTACATGCATCAGTATAAAAAATTATTAGGAATTTATTCTTTATTACCTACTGTCTTTAACACTCTGTGTGTTACAGCCCATCTCAGTTTGGACCGGTTGCATCACAAGAGCCCAGGAGCCAGAGGCAGCGGGGGGCTGTTGCCTCAATAGCAGAGCACTAGATCTTTAAGGGATGGCAACATCAGCATCAAAATCAAGGTCACAGTTTACAGCAGCATCAGCAACACCTGGAAGCTTATTAAAATGCAGAATCTTGGGCCCTAGCCCAGACCTATTGATCAGATTGTGCAGCTGAACAACATCCCAGGCGATTCTATGCACATTAAAGAGTGAAGAGCGTTGCTGTGAATCACAGTTCTACGACCCTCAAACTTTTTTAGACCTGCCAGTCATCTAACATCTCCCCCCAAAAAAGATAAGACATCTTTTGATTTTGAATTGCTTTTTGGACCTTCTCAAAACTCTGCCTAATTATGTTGAACTTAACAAGACATGTATATATTGATACAATGTTATTGCTTACAGTACATATTATGCTCTTTTCAATTTTGGGGTTCACCATAACTCTACAGAGTTCTCTGAGTACTGCTGCAGAGTAGTATTATTGCCATATTACAGATAAGAAAGTTTAAGCTTAGTGAGGCTAAGAAGATTTCCTAAAGTCTCAGAGTCAGTAAGAAGTGAAACTGGGACATTTGTCAGATTCCAGGCCTCTTTCCTTTCTACTCATCACACTGATTTCCAACAGTCAGAACTGAATGCAGGTCTCTGGTATAAGAGTTATGCCATGGGTCCTACAAGATACTCTCAGCCCTATTGCCTGGGATGAGGCCTGGGCACCCAAAATGTGTCCACCTCTTAGAATGAGTAGCTTGTGAGGATATAGACAGCCAAGGGTCTTGAGGTTTCAGTGCATATTTACACTTTTCCCTTTTAATTCCCTGGTGCTCAGTATTTATCTGCTACCACCATTGTTCACAGTATTTCTTCCTGACTTGAGACAAACAATCCCAGGCCACAATATCTTTTCCCTCTTAAAAAAAATACCAAAGTTACAAATAAAAAGAGTGCATGACTGAGTAGGTGCTTTCTCACCACAATTTTTCCAGGGGCGAAGAGTTGACCTTGTTGTTATTTTCAATTCTTAGTGGCTTAGAAGTCAGGATAAAAGCTTAAACCAAGGCACCCCAGGAAAAAAACATGAATTCAAGACCCCATGCTAAAAAGTAAACCTCCAAGAACAATGAGCAGGTTGCTGGTGTTGGTCTTACCTAGGCCCTGGATTGACTGGTCCGCTGGTGTGGGGTACAGACAGGATGCTGGCGTGGGGTGTGGAGGATAAGGAAGTCCAGTTGTCAGCTCCAGAGAAAACTTGCAGGTTATTGCTGGAGCTTTCTATCAAATTCACTTTGGGGAAATAACAACAGTTCAGTTTATGAAGCATGGAAAACGTAAAGATGGTGACCAATGACATTATCCTAGGTCAAAATACAGCCATGGCTTGTACCAGTGTGCCAACAGTGTGTTGATACTTTCTGAAGGAAGCAGAAAGGAGGGAGGAACTTAGGTTTATTGAAGTTTATTGAATGTCAACCATGTGTCACAAACTGAAAGTTTCTCAGTCGTGTCCAACTCTTTGCGACCCAATGAAATATAGAGTCCATGGAATTCTCCAGGCCAGAATACTGGAGTGGGTAGCCTTTCCCTTCTCCAGGGGATCTTCCCAACCCAGGGATCAAACCCAGGTCTGCTGCATTGCAGGCAGATTCTTTACCAGTCATGGGATGATCATGTACTGTTCATTTTTTTTAATCTTTATAACAACTTCTCACCTCCATTTTATAGATGAGGCTCAGACAGGTGGGATGATTTTCCCTTTTTGTCACAGATCTAACTCAGGTCACTGCTCACATCCTCTTTAAAATGGGCCATGTCATCATCCCCTCAAAACAAGCCTATGGCCACCAGTGCTTCAGATGACGTTTCTGAGGATCAGGACCTATCTTTCTCAGCAACCCCAAGGAGATTTAAACATTTCAGGAATAGTATCTTCTATGTATTTGAATCTTCGTTTGCACAAATAGTGCATATATAATAAAGAGGAAGAAGGGAAAGAAGATGGGAAGGAAGGAGGGGAGAGATAGGAAGAGGATTTCATGCACATCCCTGGCCAAGTCACTCCTTTTCATGGTGTGGCCCTCAGCCTCAACTCCTTCATCCACCACATTGCCTCCCTCCTTCTCCACTCTTTTCCCAAATCATTCCCAGATAACGTAGGTTCTCCCCTCCTCCTGTACCTTTGCTCACATCACTGTCTCACATGGAGTGCCCCTCATCTCTGCCTGTGTCCCACGTCATCCACCTTTCATCCCTGCCTACCCCAACCTTTCTCCTTTTCTATTCTCTCTTCAAATCTCAACTTGAACATCAAGCCCTCTGGTAGACTTGGCTGCCCTTTTTCTTTCATTCCCATAGCACCGTGGCTTGTGTACTTTATAGAATGTTTCTCTAACTTTAATGTGCATAACGATCACCTGGGGATTTTGTTAACCTGCAGACTCTTTCAGAACGGGAACCTGAGAGTCTACATTTCTAACAAGTTCCCAGGGAATGCTACAGGTCTAAGGATCACATTAGAGCTCTCACTATACTGTATTAGGATTAATTATATGTATTTGCATAACCCTGAGATCCTCCAGGGAATAAATAAACCTTAATCACCTTCCTTACCCCACTGCCTAGAAGAGTGCCTGGTGCATAGCAAATGCTCAGATGTGTTTTGTGTGCTGACCCCAGGAAAGAATCAAGAAGTAGGTGAGAACCTGCTCAGTTTCTGATATCATTAAGCTCCATTTTCTCCCTTCCTGGAAGCAGCTGCCAAGGTCGCTGGGAGCAGCCAGCGATGGGGCACAGGCACTGGCAGCTGATGCCCAGCAAAGTCATCTGCAGGCACAGAGCTCGCGATGTCCCTGAGGCTGGTATCCTAACGCACTCCTCTGTCTCCCAGACCAGGAACTTCACTGTCTCCTTGAGTGTCAGTGTCCGCATATGAGAGTAGAATCTCTGTGAGATGATCGGTGCTGTGATCTGTTTTGTTCATGGACAGAACCTGGCACAAAGTCAACCCTCGATAAATATTTGCCGATTCAGACCAAAGCCTGGATGTAGAGTGAACTAGCTTTCCAAAACTTCCTAATAGCTCTTCAATACTGGGCCCAATATTTTCTGGACTGAGCCATGCACTACAACTGTAGAAAAGAGTCATGTGAGGGCAATGAGCTGAGGGTCTCAGAACTCCGTGACTTAACTTGGCTTTTAGAGATGCAGCCTGAAACTGCTTAGTACACCAGTGCCCTGGGAGGAGGACTTTCACACCCATTAGAAATTGGGAGACTAGTTGTCTCCCAGCTTTTGTAATTATTTGCAATAATTATAAAATACTAACAATGCTATATATAGTCAACTGTTAGTATATAAAACATCAAAATTTTAATATATAATAATATTACATATATTAGATAAAATGGATTCTATCTTCAGATGTTTATTTCTACTAGTTGTTTATCTACTTCTTCCCACCATCCACACCCCCAAGGGTATTGTTAGCAGAATCACACACCTGAGGGAGAATGATTTCTGTGCACATATGCAGAAGGGTAGGGAGCCTGCCGGTGGTGTCCTCGGATGCCAGGGTAGTGCTCACAGCCATGGTGGGTGTGGGGAGCAGACAGAGGCAAAGGAGTAGCATACTGGTAGTTGGTATTTCCTGCTGTACACACTCCATCCGGATTGGAAAAGATCCAGCTTCCCACTGCAGAAGATAAGAGGAAGACACAGAGGAAGATTCTGTGAACTTCCACACCAAAAATCAGGTTTCCAGTCACTTAGCATAGTTATGTTCCTGTGTGAATGGCAGTGTCTACCTGTGTGGAGTTAGACACTACCACCTCCACTGCCACTCCCCGTCCACGTTAGCAGCTAAGTCGGCTTCTTTGGAGATGAATGACAGGCCCTATCAAGTTTGGAGAATCTCTTAAGAAATGCTGGAGTTGAAACTATAAAACTCCTAGAGGAGAACATAGGCAAAACACTCTCTGACATAAATCACAGAAGGCTCCTCTATGACCCACCTCCCAGAATATTAGAAATAAAAGCAAAAATAAACAAATGCGACCTAATTAAACTTAAAAGCTTTTGTACAACAAAGGAAACTATATGCAAGGTGAAAAGACAGCCCTCAGATTGGGAGAAAATAATAGCAAACAAAGCAACAGACAAAGGATTAATCTCAAAAATATACAAGCAACTCCTGCAGCTCAATTCCAGAAAAATAATTGACCCAATCAAAAAATGGGCCAAAGAACTCAACAGACATTTCTCCAAGGAAGACATACAGATGGCTAACAAACACATGAAAAGATGCTCAACATCACTCATTATCAGAGAAATGCAAATCAAAACCACAATGAGNGGGTGGAGAGGGAGGTGGGAGGGAGGATCGGGATGGGGAATACATGTAATTCCATGGCTGATTCATGTCAATGTATGACAAAAACCACTACAATATTGTAAAGTAATTAGCCTCCAACTAATAAAGGTAAATGAAAAAAAAGAAGAAATGCTGGAGTCACAGCTATATAAAATATTATTTGAATTTATAAGTTAATAGAAAATATAAAAGTTAAGTTGCTTCTGACTTAATTGGATTAAAAGTCAGTCAAAGAAGGAGATGTCAGATGATATGTTAATCATTGATTAAAAGCTACTAGGGAATGTTTAATTTGGTTACCCAGAAAGAATGGAGCTCTCCCTGTTTCTGCCAAGTGAGAAAATATCTATAGTTCTCACTTAGAGCAAGAGGAGACAGGATGCCTCCCATCACCACCCAGCAAAGAGGATTCTGAAGGCAAAAAGAGAGGGAGATGGCCAGCACAACTTGATAAGAATCTTGCAAAACATTTTGGAAAACTGCAAAATATTTCACAGAAATGTGTGGAATCGATGTGGAAAAAGCATGTGACAAAATTTAACACCCTGTCATAATAAAAGCATTCAATAAAGAATACAAGAAAATTGCCTCAACATAATAAAGGCCATATAGGACAAACCCACAGTTAACACCATACTCAATGGTAAAAAACTGAAAGCTTTTCCTCCAAGATCATGAGGAGGACAAGAATATACACTCTCACTACTTCCATTCAGCATTGTACTAGAAGTCCTAGTCAGAGCAATTAGGAATAAAGGAAAAGAAAGAAAAGGCATCCAAATTGGAAACGAAGAAATAAAATTATCTCTGTTCATAGATGACACAATCTTATATGTAGAAAACTCTAAATATTCCACAAAAAAACTTTTCTGATAAACAAATTCAGCAGTTGCAGGATACAAAATCAACACATAAAAATCAGTTGTATTTCTATACACTTACAATGAACAATCCAAAAAGTAACTAAGAAAACAATCCAATTTAGAATAGCACCACAAGGAATAAAGTACTTTGGAACAAAATATACCTATGGGGCAAAAGACTCATACACTGAAAGCTATAAAATATAGATGAAGGAAATTAAAGAAGATATAAATAAATGGAAAGACATCCTATGTTCATGGATTGAAAGACTTAATATTATTAAAGTGTTCATATTACCCAAAGAAATCTCTATCAAAATCCATAAGACACTTTTGTCAGAAATGTAAAGCAATACTAAACTTCATATAGATTCTCAAAGAACTCCAAATAGAACGATCCTGAGAAATAAAAATAAAGCTGGAGGCCTCACAGTTCCTGATTTCAAAACACATTACAGAGCTACAATGCTGTAAATAGTATGTGCTCAGTTGTCCATTTGTGTCTGACTCTTTGCAACCCCATGGACTGTAGCCTGCCAGGCTCCTCTGTCCATGGAATTTTCCAGGCAGTAATACTGGAGTGGGTTGCCATTTCCTATTTCAGGGGATCTTCCTGACTAGGGATCGAACCCAATCTCCCGTGTTTCCTGCACTGGCAGGCAGATAGTTTCCCACTGAGCCACCTGGGAAGCCCCCTAATTAGTATGGTGCTGGCAAAAAGATATATAGACCAGTGGAAGAAAAGAGAGCCTATAGATAAACTCCACTTATATGGTCAAGTAATCTTCAACAAGGGTGCCAAGACTACACGAGTGGGAAAGAATAGTCTCTTCAGAGAACAGTATTAGGAAAGCTGGATATCCACATGCAAAAGAAATAAACTAAACTCATATTACACCATATAAAAATTTTAACTTTAAATAAATAAATAAATATAAGACCTATACAACTTATAGAAGAAATGCAGGGGAAAACTTCACAAAATTGGATTTGGCAATGATTTATTAGATATGACACCAAAAGCACAGATAACAAAAGCAAAAATAGACAAACTACTTCAAACTTTAAAACTTCGGCACAGCAAAAGAAACAATCAACAGAGTGAAAGGGAAATCTATAGGATGGAAGAGAATATTGGCAAACTATAAAACTATAAAAGGGATTAGCATCTAGAATATGTAAAGATCTCTTATAACTCAACAAAAACAAAAAAAAAAATCCTAATGAAAACAAGCAAAGGACTTGAACAGACATTTCTTCAAAGATATACAAAAAGCCAAAATGCATATAAAAAGATGTTCAACATCACTGTTCATTAGCAAAACACAAATCAAAACAAGATATCACCTCATACTATGGCCATTATCCAAAAAAGATTAGGAAATAATAAGTGTTGGTGAGAATGTGGAGAAATTGGAACCCTTGTGAACTATTCATGGGGATGTAAATTGGTGCAACTCGCATGGAAAACACTATGGAGTTTCCTTAAAAAATTAAAAATAGAAGTACTGCATGATCCACCAATTCCACTTCTGGTTATATATCCAGGAGAATTAAAGACATCTGCATACTCATGTTCATTGCAACATTATCACAGTTGCCAAGAGGTGTAAGTAACCTAAATGACCATCAATAGATTATGGGACAGGCAAATTTGGTATATACATGCAAGTAAATATTATTTCAGCCTTAAAAGAAGGAAATCCTGGCGTATGGTACTATATGGATGAGCCTTGAGGAGCATTAGGATAAGCAGAAGCAGCCAGTCATAAAAAATATATATATATATATATTGCATGATTCCTCATACTAGGTATCTAAAGGCTATGGATATAAAGGTATAGAGTAGAACGGTGGTAGCCAAGGGCTTTGTGGGGAGGGAGATGTGAAGAGAAGAAGTTTGGTGAGTATATGTAGTTTTAGCGTGCAGGAATTAGGGTGGAGAGGGCAGACAGGTGGTTCTGGGAATCTTTTGTACCAAAATGTGCATGTGATTGACAATACTGTACTATACATACAATTCTTGTGAAGGTGCATTTTATAGCGTGGTTTTAAGCCACAATAAAAAATTTAGTAAGTATTAAGAGGAAAAGGCTTTACTTCAAGTGAATTCATGGGAGAGGACAGAGAGGCCCTAGAACAAGGAGCACATCCTCTCACCAACCAGCTCTCAACTGAGGGGTCCGCAGATGAAGATTCAGACAGGACAGAACTGCTCCTTAAGAATATTGACTAGAGATTGTCACCAGGGCTTTAGTGATATGGAAGTAGAACTTTTATTAAAACCATTTGCTTAATATTTTTTAAGTATAAGTAAACAAATTGTACAGAATTCATATCACAAAATGTAGGTCAGTCATTCTCAATAAATCATTTTGTTATCTCCATTTTCTCTTTGTTGTATAGGCGTGTGGCACAAGGGATCACTATCTGAATGATAGAATCAAGACTCAGGTGCTCAGCAAGCAAAGCAAGGCAGAACCAGACTTTTGTTCATGAAGTTTGCCACATATAAGGATGTTTACTGAGAAGGTTGTAACACATGAACTTGAAAGGGTGTGGTTCCACATGTGATCCTATCCTATACAAAATAGCTTTTCATTCCAGGTCAGTTAAAAAGTACTTTTCTTGGATAAATTGTTAGAAATGTACCATCTGCCACAACTGAATCAGGAAGAAATAGAAAATATGAACAAACTGATTACCAATAATGAAATTTAATCAGTAATCATAAAACTCCCAACAAACAAAAGTTGAATTCTACCAAATGTTTTAAAAAGTAAACATCTATCCTTCTCAAACTATCCCAAAAACTGAAGAGGAAGGAATTCTTCTGAACTTATTCTATGAGGCCAGCATCATCATGATACCAAAACCAGACAATAGCACCACAGAAAAGAAAGTTACAAACAAAAATAATAATAATAACATTGCAGCATTATTTACAATAGGCAAGAAAATGAAGCAAATCAAGTGACCATCAAGAGATAAATGAATAAAGAAGACGTATATATATATATGTGTGTGTGTACACACACAATGGAATATTATTCAGCCATAAAAAATAATCATGCCATTTTCAGAATCATGGATGGACTTAGAGGGTATTATGCTAAGTGAAATAAGTCAGGTTAAAAAAAGATAAATAGCATATGATTTCACTTATTGTGGAATCTAAAAATAAACCACATGAACAAACATAACAAAACAGAATAAACTCATAAATATACAGAACAAACAAGTAGTTACCAGACAGTGGGGAGGAAATAAATGGGTGAGGGAGATTAAGAGGTACAAAATTCCAGTCACAAATGAGTCATGAGGATGAAATCTGCAGTATGGGAAATATAGTCAATAATATTGTAATAACTTTGTATGGTGGCAGATGCTAACTAGACAAAAAAAAAAAAGACTCCTGAGAAAAGGTTTTTTTAAAGTGATTTTCTGAGAATTGTTTCTCTTTATGTGGCTATACTGCCACTTCTGCAATGAAAGATGCATCGAACTTTAGGGGAAGGAGTAAAGAATTTCATAGCTGGAAAACTACAGAAGGGACCTTAGCAAACCACTAAACTCTAAATTAAAGGGTATCTCAGACACTGATGCTACTGACCTTGGGTTACTGCTGCAGCTTTAGAGGACTTGCTCCGCTCTGGAGCCTCCTCTCTGTTCTGAGACACGGAGAGGGTGGCACCCTGTCAGGAACATCCAGTCTACCTGCAGAATTCCAGGTATATGACTCCACTAATACTGTAGTTTTCCAGTCAACAAATACAGAAGTTTCCTCATGTGCAAAGCTATGGCCTTCCTGAGGCATGGCAATGGTGATAAACTAAAAAACCAGAAAGTACTAAGAACAAGGAAACCCCAAAACAGGAGTGGAGTGTCAGGGTAGACGGTAGATCCAGAATCCACTTTTATGAGCTCTTTAGCCTCCCTGACACAAAAATGGGAGTCAAAGAAATTCACTATTTCCATTTTTCTCTCCTGCCTTGGATTTGTATACACTCCCCCAGGAGCAGGGGTTCTCCTCTCCAGAAATTCTTGAAAGGGCATATACTTGTCTTGAGTGGAAGAAATAACCACTGGGTCTTGATAGAATATTGGGAACAAGCCTGAAGCAGTCATGACAGGTAAAAAGTCTGAGCATGGTGGAGATGCTCCTAGTGTAGCCCCAGGCCCTTCCTATCCAGGGTTCACCCAACTCACAGTGAGAATAGGTCACATGCTGGCTCTCAGACATAGCTTCTGGAATATCCTTGAGGTGGTTCCTGAAAGAGCAATGAAAGTGCACTATAGCTGTCCAGCTTGCCATTCACATCCAGCATCAAGTACACCCAAGATTGTCTTTGGAGAGCAATCAATTTCTTGAAATAAGAAAATCAAACACTTTTTTCCCCTCAAACCACTATCTTTCCCCCATTCTCCTCCTACTTTATGTTCTTGTGCGATTGCTCTTTGAATTGCAACTTTATAGTCAATCCAGTTTACCTTATTTACACCTATCCCTATGTAGCTTGATCTTACTGATTTGTGGTCAGTGTTTCTGCTTGCCAAAATTCAAGCAATGATTACAGCAGCCAAGATTTGCCTAGGACTTCAGGGCACAGTCACATCTGTGATATGCTCGGTCCACCAATTATCCTGTGATAGAATATTACTACATGCTTTCGCAGATTTAGAAAGTGGGCCCCAGAAAAGCAAATTGACTTATGCAAGTCAGGAAATGGTAAAGCCAGGACTCAAAGCCAGGCTCTCTCTCTCTCAAAGTCCTAAATATTTTTATTATATGAGTTTTCTTATCTGAAAAAAGTATTTCTTCTACATCATCAAAATTAAGTCAAATATTGACAGGACAGACCCCTGTGACATGTTATTATAAACACCTGTCCATTAGTCTAGTGCCTTTATGATGAAAAAGCAAGATTTGAAATTTATAGGAATTAGTGTAAAGATTTGAAACAGAAACAACAAAATCCAAACACTTCAAAGGAAATCATTCACACCCCCAGGAGTCTCTGACTTCTGAAAGACATGAACCTCTCACCTTTATGAATTACTCACCTTTCCTAGGTGAAATCTAGCTTTAAAAAATTTATTGAAATCATACTACTCAGATAACTGTCGTAAAGGAAGATTGAATTACTTAAAATTTAAATCACTTAGGTTTTTTTTAATGTGATTATATTATTTTCAAGAATCTATCATAAAACAGGGCAGATAAAACATGGCCAGTTCCAGGTCCTCCTGTTGTTTAGCTGCTAAGTCATGTCCAACTCCTTGTGACCCCATGGACTGTAGTCCA